CCTTTTGATGGTAAAACCCCGTGTATTTTGAATCAGATGTTTTGATAGCAGTGGGGCAGGTTGTGTGGGCTGAATTCCATAGTATTTCTACCGTGGCCTGATGAAATGAGAACATCCTAATAAAGCAGGAGAAAAACCATGGTGTCTTAAAAATCAAAATACATGAGTGTGTCAACAATGAACTTCAGTATATTAAGACACCTTTTTTTTTTTTTTGTTCTTCCCATTTGGTATTTTATGGAAGTTGGTTTGGGGATGTTTTTGCTTTCAGGTTTCAGGAACTGTTTGTGTTCCCAAATTGTTCAACTATAGAATAGTTTGGAGCTGTACTGATAGTCTTTATTGCAAAAGTCAAAATACATGAGTGTGTCAACAATGTAGTTTGAGAGATTAAGACACCTTTTTTTTTTTTTTGTTCTCCCCATTTGGTATTTTATGGAAGTTGGTTTGGGGATGTTTTTGCTTTCAGGTTTCAGGAACTGTTTGTGTTCCCAAATTGTTCAACTATAGAATAGTTTGGAGCTGTACTGATAGTCTTTATTGCAAAAGTCCAATTCCAGCTCCCAGCCTGCTGATAACAGAATCCAGGCTGACACTGGCTGTGGTTAATGACAAACATCAGTAAGAAAGTGTGAGGTACATATTGTGTATGAAGAGCCATTCTGACTTCTATGGGAAAAATTCCTTTCATTTGCAGTGAACACAGAGAGGGACCTTTTGCAAACACTTGGTACCTGCTTTGCTAAGAAGGGGAATTGTTCTTGTGACACACTAACATAAAAAAGAAACAAAGCTCTTCCCTCTTTATAGTGTACCTGCCTGTAAATCCCCTCTGAGCAAGTCTCCAGCTGTGGGAGGGATCAGAGTTATTAGGGCTGATATCAGTGTTCAAAGTACACATTTAAATTAGTAGTTTTATTCTGAGGCCTGTTCTATACCGTAGTGGCTTTTGGGGGTAAAGTTAATGCTGCTTCTTGAACTTACTGTTGATTAGAAGATGTAGAATATACATTTCAAGAGACTATACTGAGATACAGTCTCAATGATTTGAGACTTGAAAGATGAGCACGGTCCTGTTGTAGTCTAAAGTTCTTTGTTAGTGGCTAAAAATATAACAGGGACTGAAATCCACACAGCTTTAATAGTTATTTTCCTTCCAGCTTCATTATTCATAAATATGTGCCCCATCACTTCTACCCATCGTCCTGGGCTGCTCAAACCACAGACTGGTCTCACCTGCAACATTAAAGTTGTATTTTGGCTGTAGAGGTCTCCCAGGGAGTGTCTCAAACCACATTCTGACAGAATTCTGAAATTAAATATTTACTCTTATTGCTGTGCTGGAAACTGGTGAAGTGTTCAAGGGGTGTCAGTGCTCAGGTGAAACACCGGGGCGATGGGTTGATGGTTTCACTGTAGGACTTGGTCACTGCCAAGTGTTAAATTGGGACTAACACTGTTCAATATATTCTATATTTGAAGTTGGCTTGGAGACTTGAATTATTTCCTCTTTCAAGGCAACTTTGCAGGTTGAATGGGGCAATCTGTGCCCTGGGTTGTCCTTTAAAGGCTCCCTTCTTGAGGAGCTTCAGTTACTCTGCAGACACTCGTTCCGTGCCGAGCTCTGTTGGTAAGAAGGGTTGTACTGCCCATAAAATCAAATGTTTATGTGAATGACTGTTCATACAGAGGGAACTTGACCTATAGCAGTGTAAGATAAAGTGTGAGGAGCTTTGAACTTGAGAAGAAAAGCTGGAGTGTAATCAGTGGGACTCTTGGCTGATAACATTGGTTGGGTGGCTGAAGAACCCAGCATTTTCAGATATTAAATTATCCCTATTTTCAGTGAAGGAATGTTTAAAACAATTAACATAAACTTTTAAAATTCATATCACAACTAAATACCACTCCAGTTTCTATCAAGGAGTGGGAACTGTAAGTTGTCTGCTTCAGTATAGACTCATGCACAATTAAATAAAATGGGTATTTCTCTTTTTTACCCCCTTACAGGGACCAGGTTGTTTTGAAACAGATTCCTTTGTGTGCTGAGGCTCAGTATTAAAATTCTAAAATTCTGTGCATGAATAAAAAGATTCTGTGGGTAAAGCTGTAATGATTCAAACCAAAACCTCCTTTCACCCTTGCAAACAGCAGTCAATGTTCTATTTAGAAGGGTGTTTTAATCAGTAGTTACATATTTGACTACACTATACTTTAGAAACATATATGTGGGTAGTTTTGAAAGCAGCTTATTTGATTTCTTCAGAGCTGTTGTGGAAATCAACTGACTATTTAGAATTAAAAACTTTGAAAATAAGAGATGACAATATTTCTGCAACTGACTATTTTAGATGTCAGTGTGGGATTATATCCATTTATTGTATCAGCTCAGTACTGAGCAACACAAATACATACTCACCTTCTAAGTTCTTGTTGTCTTCCAAGCCTTGGGTAATACTTCTGCTGGTTTTTGTGGACTGAAATGTAATTAAATTTTAAAAAGACCCCCAAAACCAACAGCAAAACACCATTTTCTTTCCTGTTTTAAAGTACATGGGGAAAAAAGCCTTGTGCTTGTGGATAAGATGTGCACTACACTGCTCACTAAAAATTTCCTGTGGTTCCTATCAATCATGGGATGATTTCCTATTTATATGCAGTTTCAGTTGTGCTCATGAAAGTATATTCCAGATAATAAATGACTTATTGTCATAGCTGTTATTTTGCAAAGAGCTGCTTAAAATAGCTCTTTGTTTGACCCTGATGTGCAGCTTTCCTGCCTTTTGGAAATGCCTTGAATATTTTACTACAACCTTCTCAGGCAGAGGTGGGGAGCGAATAATGTGTCTTATCTTAAATTGTTGAGATAAACTTAGAAAGCTGCACTATCATAATAGATGTGATACTTCAGTTCTGGTGCTTCAGGCAATTGATAATGACAGCAGCACTTTTCAGGGAAATGCTGATGCTTAAATATCAATAATTATTAGAGGGTTCTCTCCAAGTGCTTTAGAAATTGGGAATATTATGTTTGAGTTCAAAAAACTTAGAGCAGCTCAGAAGTAGGTTCGAAAATCACTTGTAAACTTTGCCATGTTCTGTCCAGTTCCTTGGATGCTTGAAGATGTTTTGTGCTATGGAGTGATCAAGTCTTTGCCAGTGTTGTGGTGGAGGAGTTGGCTGTAGATTTCCAGCTCTTTGGAAATGTTGGTGCAGATGGACAGCGTTTCACCTCCTGGCCTGGTGGTCAGGGATGACTGAAATGCAGCTGCTCCTGTGTGTGCACAGAACCCTCCTCAGCCTCCAGGAGAGCACTTGGAATAGTTTTGCCTTTTTTGGCCTAAGTCACCGTTTGTCTCAGGCTGTTTTCTCTTGCTGCTCAAGGGCATTGTGGCTTAAATTAGTGTTCACATGGTATAATGATGCAAAAAGGGAATTTGTGGCTGTTTTTATTGTCTCTTTGTATACACATGCTTACAAAAACACATGGCCAAGTCTACAAGCAAAACTACACAATCTTTTGCTGATTTTAATGGTTGGAGTTTCTCTGAATTTATAGGAAGTCACACGGTGCAGGTTTTTCTAATGTTTGTAGTCACACTTAACTCTCCTCTTCAGTGTTTTATTCCACAGTTTCCCACTCAGGGTGTGAGTGGTTGGATGATCCAAGGCTGTGACACCACTGTCGAGTTTTTCATGGCATTATTTGTTAATGTGCATTATTGCTGCTGGTTGCATAAGCAGTTCCTGCAGGAATTGCAGCTTATTTTAATTTTCCTGCAGGGACACACACTCCCATCTACTCAGATCAGCTGTCTTTAGCTGGTTATTGTCTCTTCTTTGTTTCTTTGCATTATTTTTTATAGTATAGCTGACACTTGAGTGCTGAATTACATCAGGAGTGTTCAGTCATGTGTGTTCAGTGGAATATTGACATGCAGAACGTAGAACCCCTCCAGATGAGTCAGAAATGAAACTCATTAATATGCTTTAGCAAGGGAATTTGCTGCAACCATTTATTTGCAGCAGGCACAAAATGGTGGGCCTTTAGTTCTCGTCTCAAAAATTCCTAAAAATTAGGAAAAGCTGGATAAGAGGAAGTAGGAAGGTAAAAGAATTAATTGTGGGATGATGGAGATGCCGGAACTCAGTTGGCAACTGGATTCATTATTCTGCCATTTTTAGGAGCTGTTAAATTTCAGCATCTACCTTGGTGTCTCAAACACTTGTTAGTGGATGTTTTTCGATTTGTTTGTGGGTTGTTTGTTTTATTTTTTTCTTCCAGTGTTTTCTTCTGTAAGGTATAAACATATGTGGTAAAATAAACATGAGAGTTGAGTGAAAATTGTAACTGGGATGTGGATTGTGGTGTATTTAATAGAGCAACATTAGTGGAAAATCTACTGTGTGATCTGAAATGAACTCCCAACTCTGAAACATCTGGCAGAATTCAAAGTATAACATTACAAGAGCATATTTGCAGAAGCACGTTATTCTCACAATTGGTGCCAAAGAAAAGGAAAATACAACTTCTTTTAGTTTTCTAAATAAATAAATGTGGAGAATTTGATCTTTGGAGAGCAGAGGACTCACTTTGGGCATAGAGAAAACAACCAGAAGACTCTCCAGGACCAGTTGTTCTGAAAAAGGGAACTTGATTCACCTTGGCTACGGTTTTGATTGTTTATAAATATGTCTTCTGAAATGGATATCTTGCTCTTGAGAATGTTTTCCCTTTGCTTTCAAAGGACCATGTGATTAGAAAAACAATCCCAGTGATTTACAGCTTCTTTCTTTGAGATTGGGTAGGGGCAAATGTAAATTGGATACCCAGAAAACTGGAGTATTGCAGATCACAAAAGCAGCAATAAGCTGTTGGTGATTTTAGTCATCTGAACAGTTACTGGAAAGTCATTTTTCTGGCTGATAAAGGTAATAGTTCACTGGGTTAGAAGTCTCTCAAATAGCAACATTCTAACTTTCTTTTCTTTTCTTTGTAGTTGGAGACAAGGTTCCTGCTGATATAAGAATTACTTCTATCAAGTCTACAACTCTAAGGGTAGACCAGTCAATTCTCACAGGTATTTCTGTGACTTTTGTATAATTATGTGCATAATTGGAAGTGCCTTTGCACCGTTTATTTTGAATAATCCATTAGAAACAAGCCTGCAGCTACTGAATTACTCTGTTGCATTCAATGCAGCAAAGTTCTCATCTGGTAACTTTGAGTGGCTGAATGTGTTGCTTCATCACTGGCTCTGTGTTCCCTTAGTGGGATGAACATTCTTACTGAGACCTGTGATGGTTTTTTGGTTGTCCCTTCCCCCCCAGCACAGACACGAGTAACTTGTGGGAAACCAAACTGTAAAATATTTAGAATTTCTCTTCTAGTTTACACAATCTTCTAGGTTTGAACATCTTGTCACCACTCAAATATGAAAGTAAATCTTACTAAATGTCTTCTGCACCAGTTCTCTGTTCTCTCTCACAGGAGAGAATAACTTCTGCAATACTGGCAGCATTTAAGCTGCTGTTACCCAGCACACTCAAGCCTTATTTGCTGAAATTCTGTGCACACACATTCATGTGTTTTCTGGTACCAGCCCTCAAGTGCAGGAGTTATTTTTAGAGCCCCTTTCAGATTTGTTGCAAACAAAACAAAGTAGAAGTACTTCTGAATATAGGAAAGAAGCTGGGAATCAACCAAGCGTGGTCCAACAGTTTGCTTTCAGCTGGAACATGAAGATCTGTCAGCCTGTTTTGGTGGCATAAATTAATGTTAACTAGCTCTGAATTTTAAAACAGTGAAGTGTTGATAGGCAAGCTGTTTTTCATCCTTGAAACCCCAAAGTTTCTCAGTACAGATCCTGAATAGCACAGAACTGATCAAGCTTACTTATGTTTAGCATAAAAAAATGGAGGCACTCCGTGTTTGGAACTGAAATAAGTAGAAGAAATGATCCACCAGAAATCTATAAAAAGGGAATAATTCCTTGCCTTTATTTAAATAACGGAATTCTTATTTTAAAGAATTCTGTTTTCAGCCAAGTTGATGCTCGAGTCTCCTGACTAACAAAGTAGAACTGAAGTCTAAGATGCTGTTTAGCAAAAAGCTTTTACAAGTAGGAACCTTTGGTTCTCTTGAGTTTGCAAAAAGCAGCGTAACTCCGTGACTGGAGCTGAGAGCAGCACCTTGTGAAATCTGATGTAGCAACAAACAGCTGTTTCTATAGAAAAGGAACCTTTCTATACCTGTGACGTGTTCACAGAAACAGATACACCATTTTCATTAAAAGTCAGCCATTCAGTTTTCTTGATCAACTGAAACAACTCCTTGTTTCACTTAAGCAATTAAATAAAATCGTGTGAGGAAAGAAGTTTAACATCTTAAAAATTTTAGGACTGAGGATTATAACTTTTTGATTCCCTCAGGACTCAAGATACATGTACAGTCTCTTCTTATTATTTTAGGTGAATCTGTGTCTGTTATTAAGCACACTGACCCTGTGCCTGATCCTCGTGCTGTAAACCAAGACAAGAAGAACATGCTCTTTTCTGTAAGTTTTGAAATTTTCAAGTAATTTGTAAAATAATTCTGAAGCTGATAAAAATGAGCAGAACTTTAAATATTCCCCTAAAAGCTGTAGGACTTTTGTTATATTCTCTATACACATTTCTATGTGTGTCTCCAGGTACTAAATGAATTAAAAATTAGAATTAACTTTTAATAAAAGCTATCCTCAGGGAAGATGCTGGATGAAACCTATATGAGGAAAATTATTTTTGTCCTTCACAATGAACTCCTGAAAGGTGGAGCACACACACTTTTAAAGTGCTTCTGCATTAATTTTCTAAAGTAATAGTTCTTATGAGTGATAAGAATGCCCACACAAATTGTGATATTGTGTGGCTAAAATTGAAAACTGTATAGGAAAGGAAGCATTAAATACCTTTTAGGTAAGAAAATAACTCTTATTGCTGGCAGGCTGCTTGTAGAAAATTTAACTGTTCTTTCTCATGAACGTATGTTCACACAGGGAGTCCATGAGAACACGTCTATTACTCATAGTAAATAGCATTAAATCTGGCAAAATACAATCCTAATTAAAAAAAAAGAGAAAGGAAAACCACATCTAAGATTGCAGCTGAAATCCATAGTGCTTACTCAGCAGCTGGGTTTGCCTGTGCTGCTTGTGAGAGATCAATACTGAATCGTTTTGAGCCTGTTCTGGAAGGAAAAATTCCACACTGGAATGTTTCCTACAGACACAGGGACAGTGTCATCCTCTTCCTCTTTTTCTATATCCTGACTGACACACAGTCTGGACTTGTATAATGTGGTTTAGGGTATTTTTGTGGTGGTTTTTTTTAAATTAGAACAAACCCAAACACAAACTGTTTATAGATTGACTACAGGTTTTCTCTTCCCTTGTCTTTCTTTGCTTCAGGGTACAAACATTGCTGCTGGTAAGGCCATGGGAGTGGTTATTGCAACAGGAGTGAACACTGAAATTGGGAAAATTCGTGATGAGATGGTGGCTACTGAGCAGGAGAGAACCCCCCTGCAGCAGAAACTGGATGAGTTTGGGGAGCAGCTGTCCAAAGTCATCTCCCTCATCTGCATTGCAGTTTGGATAATAAACATTGGTCACTTCAACGACCCCGTTCACGGCGGCTCCTGGATCCGAGGTGCCATCTATTACTTCAAAATCGCTGTTGCTCTTGCTGTGGCTGCCATTCCCGAGGGTCTCCCTGCTGTCATCACCACCTGCCTGGCTCTGGGAACTCGCAGGATGGCCAAGAAGAACGCCATTGTCAGGAGTCTGCCCTCTGTGGAAACCTTGGGCTGCACCTCAGTCATTTGTTCTGACAAGACTGGTACTCTGACCACGAACCAGATGTCAGTGTGCAGGGTATGTGCTTCTAGTTCTCCTCTTCTCCTCAGCCACTCTGTTTGAATAGTCAGCATTGCTGGAATTCCTCTGTTCCTGAGTCTTTTGGTTCTCATCTCATCAAAATCTTGCTTTATTTTCCTAAGATAAGCTTCCACTTTTGATTCAGTTTTCCACTGTGGAGTCTTGAAGGCTTTTATCTCTTCCCTTATTTAGTCATGGCCAGAAATAGCTCTGGATGGAAGAGAAAGTTGTTTGCAAGCAGCTTTCCATTGACTGTTCTGTGAGCCTTTCATGGTACTGGTAATTATTTGGTGTGATTTGTGCCCTGTTTCAGAAAGTTACACTGTGGAACAGGATGTGTGTAGTGTTAAACACTTGCCTCTTTAATTGAGAAGGATAACCATGGGTGGAGAAACTTAGTATGAGAAAAGTAGATTTACTGTAGTAGCTTTGATAGTCAAAGGTGTTTTCACTACTGAGTGGCTCCACCTTTATTTGGTTATCTTATCTCCAGCGGCTCTGTAGATCACTGTGGTGTTCTCAATGTGCAGCATTGTCTGACTAATGTGGCAGCTTGGAGGTGCAGTTGGCCCTGCCACCATTGCCAGGGTCATCTTCAGTGTTTGGTGTATTTTCAGGTGAGCATGAGTTCTGTGCCCCTCCTCCTTTCCCCCCAGTGTTCTTTTAGTGTTGGTTATTTTGGGACTTTTACAGCTAGTCCCTTAACAGAATGCATGTTCAGTTGCCAGTTTGTGCTTCTGTGCAGGGATTTTATGGAGAAAACCCTGAGTTCTTGTGTTTAGTGACTGTAGAAGTTCAGTGGCACAGCAAGTCCGACATCAAATGTTCAGAGTCTCCTTACATTGGGTTAGAATTCCAAATGTGTGAGTGTTGAGCACTGCACACCAGTGGCCAAAGTTTGTAAGCCCTAGGCACTTTATTCTCATGTGATTGATGGCTTTTTCTTCCTAATTGGTGGGTGACTTGTTCTACTTCCTTAAGTATCGTAGTATTTATACCTAAGAGACACAAAGCAGCTGCTCATCAGTATTCCAGAGGAGGTTACTTGCAGTAGAGTTGCATAACTGCCCTAGTCTTTGCAGGGATTTTTTCATCATGCAGATGCCAAAAGCAGGAGGCTTCCTGGTTAACTCATCATTTAGGTTGTGTTTACTTAAAAGCTCAAAATGCTCTACTCCTTATTTAGAGGTAAATGTTTTAGGTCTTGTGCAGTACAACTTTACTTGGTTCCTTGTTAACCTCTGGCAACTGCAAAATAACATTAACTGTAAGATTCTGCAAAAATATAGCAAAGCTCTAATCCTATAACTAAGTTTATTTTATTAGGCTGTATTTTGTGAGGATGCTCATCTAAAACATAGGGCAGCACAATGAGGGGAGGGGAAGACATTGCTAAAATGTGATGTGACAAAATGGCCTGTACTAACCAGTGGATGAGAAGTTCCATTAAGACACACCATCATTTAGTGAGAAATTATCTTTTCCACTACCACTCCAGCAAGCCATGAAGAGTAAGGCAGCTTTGGGCACTGTAGTTTTCATCTGTATCTTCTCAGATGTGGTTCTGCCTGCAGCTCTCCCAGAAAGGAAACAAAGGGAAGAGTGAGATGCAGGTCTCTTGGGATACAACAGCATCCTTCAGATTGGTGTCTTAATTTGAAAATGTCATTTCACCAGTGGACCATGTGATAAAGTGCCCTGTAACTACAAAACCAGGAGAGGAAACACTTTCACTTAAGGCTGGTGTTAAGGCACACTAGCCATAGTCTGGCTCTTGCCAGATCTCTTAGATCTCACAGCTTCTCCTGTTTGTAGATGCTTTTATTTTGACTTTGGCAGGAATTATCAGTTTCCAAGCTGCCCTGTGCTGCTTTTGACTGGAACTGCTGTTTCAAAGAGAAATAATTCATGTTTCATGAGAATTAATCCACAGGTCTGAAGCTTAGGAAGAGTTTGGGTATAGTCAGGATTGTCAAGTGGTGTGTGAGAAGTCTCCACAGCTGAAGTGAAGTGCACATAGTTTGTGTTTTTCAGCTCTGCTGTAGTTGTGTCTCAAGGCAGTTTTCAAAGCAGAAGGGCTGTTTTCTGTACTTGGTGCTGCAGAATATGGAGCTGTTCAAACATGGGGAATCGAAGTGCAGAGTATCAGATTTTGTCTGCTTTGTTTATTCAACCTAAACTTGCCTCTTGGACCTCCTTGCTCTAGGCCTGTTTAAATCTCTTGCATTAATTATTGTTCAAAGATAGTAACAATTCTAACCCTCTAATTTCAGATGTTTATCCTGGACAGAGTAGAAGGAGACAGCTGTTCCCTCAACGAATTTACTGTAACTGGTTCAACATATGCTCCCATGGGAGAAGTGTAAGTGTTCTGTTGAAGTTAAATATTTATCTATTTATGCATTAACTATTACTTTAGTCTTGAAAAGTGATGCATGTGATACTCAATAGCAATTGTTAATAAACAAAAGATCAGCCAGTGAGTACACACTGAAGGGCTGGGAGAAAAGGAATTAACAGGAAAACAAAGTTAAATTCTAGAAGAGTAAACCTTCATGAAACTTGCTTAATACAGCCTCCAATATTGCAGTGGCCCTTTGATAATATAAACATTAATTAGGGATAGAGAGGATTTATTGTACTGAAATCTTACTGGTCTGAGGTTGTCTATCCCAGTGCTTCAAAATTTAAAGCAAGTAAACTTAAAGTAAGTTTAAAGTAAACTTTAAAAAGTTTACTTTTTTATTTAAAAACTGGATAAATCTGAAGAGGTGAGACTTTGCCAATCGGTGAACTCAGTGTTTCTAATTAATCTGCCTTGGAGAAGGTGGAATTTGTTTTTTCTAAAGTATCTTCTGAATGTGTTGGAGTTAATTCTTAAATTTACTGTAAATTCCTGTCCCCTGCCCTCAGTAGTTTATTGGTGCATCTCTACTTGACAAGATGTGTGTGTTTGTCTCAGCCTTTGGTATTTGAGCTGGTGCTTAACCAGTCCCTTAGGAAAGGAATGAGGTTTGGTTTACTTTATCAGTTGCAAGTCTCTACTAGTGAGGTAGGTGGTTCATCCTGACAACTTCAGGAATTTTTAGGGCTCTGCTTCTTGACTGGGTTGTTACAGCTCCTTTTACTTTGTCAGTCTTTGATGTGTTTTTAATCTTATTGCTTCAGTTTTACTTGCAGAAGAGAATTTAGATTGAGTTCTTGTAAACATCTCAGCCTTGTGCAGTTTCCCATTTGCCTCTGCCTCCTGCAGTCTCACCCATCTCAATAGTGATTATCTGTTTAATTTCCATAGCACTTAAGAGCCTGGTGTTCTCAGCAGCTGGGACTCTTAATTCCCCAATTCTCTTTTTTGTTTCAAAGCTAATTGCTGTCAAAAGCTTATGCTTTCATTTCAGGCAAGGTGACACTCTAGACCTTGCAGACACTGTTGAGCTCTATCTGGTCTCACAAGAGCTCCAGATAAACAAAATAATAAAATATAATGTGGTGGCAGATGTTGAGTATAATAAGACAGACATCAATATATGTTAATGTTCAATTTTTACTTGCTGGAGTCGGGGAAATGTGAACAAGTGTGTTAAACACGCTGCATTCACCTACACAAAGGGTTCTGTGAGAGGGAAATTGCCTCAGAAAGGCTGTCAGAGGAAACACAGCTGAACTCTCAAACCTTTAGGGCTGATTTATTTCTGCCTTTATGGACAGCTTTTAAATCAGGGGCTTTGCAGGGATTTTAAGTGACTGACTTCACCTTGGATTACAAACTGTCGCTGAAAATGATGTCTGGGGGGTTAAGAGGCACTTGTTCCACTGCACTGCCCCAGAGCAGGACCTGCTCCAGATATGGACCATTTCTGACACGTGTTACTTTGTACTTCAGACACTGTTGTTTTCTACACCCTGTTCTTTTTCGTAACCAGTAAGTGATTTTTGCACTAAATCAGTAATTTTTCATTTACTCTTAAAATATTTGATATGTAATGCTCCTCTAAGATGTATTCAGCACATAAAATAACAAATATATCTTACAGAAAACCCAGAATTTCGTGCTGATTTATTTCCCAGGGATGTTAGAGGTTGTCAGACAGTTTGGAGTAGTTCTGCCGTGTCTCAGCACATGCTTACTGCAAACTGAGAGCACAAAATTTACAGTAATTAAGAACTGCACCAAAAGCTGGCAGAGATTGCATTTGACCTTCAAATGAGTTCATCTTTAGCTAATTGAAAAGCCTGAAGCTGGAAGGAAAAAACCTCCTTTATCCAGAACTGATCCCAGCACCTCAGACTCTGCATTTGCCAGTCTTCAGAAATTGTTGATAAGGAACAATTTGTTGATAAAATCCCCATCAACAAGTAATGGATGTTCCAGTATGTTCTTTGAGTTCAGAACAGGTGAAAACAGGAAGTTTTATCTGGGATAGATGAGGTGACAACCCAAGAGCTGCTGAGCAGGTTAAAGAGTTGACACTTCAAAACCACTGCTTATGGCTGTTGAATCATATACAAAATGAAATGCTAAACCCATATTTGTTTTCTTAAGATTCATTTTGTTCACGTGCTTTGTTACACAATACTGGAATTTGTTTGCAGCACCACAACTGAACAAAAGGTTACATAATGGGACATGTCATAGTCTGTGTTGTGGATTCTTATGGAGTAGTGATCCACATCTTTCCACCATCAGGCCTTTTATTTCCCTCCTGGAGAGCTTTAATAAAACATGTTACATATTAGTTCTGTCTTGCTGATTTTGGTAGGGGGAAAATAACAGTATTGAACACTGTCTTGGTTCTTTTATGCTTACTGTAGAAGTATGGTAGTGCTCTAGAAAAGGAATTAATTTATTAACTGTTTCCAAATGTGAGAGCAAAGCAGTTATTTCTTATTTGTACCTTCCCTCTCTCTGAAGACCTGAGATACTGATCACTGAATGTGTATTACTGCTAGGAAGGTGTTTATGTTCCAGTGGAATTTGTGTTGTGGAGTGACTTGGCTTTTTGCTGGTTTAGGAGGTTCACATATGTACAGATTGGTTTTTAAGAAATTAAAGAGGTGAAATCTGCTTTTAGACCTGCCCAGTGCATGCACTTCATGCATTGCAGTAAATGTGCAGAATATGCAGTAGAAAGACAGCTAAACTCCTAAGGTATCCAACAGTATCCCTCTCCTTCCTGGAACTCCCCTCCAAGCCCTGCACACACTCTAATCCTGCTTTCCTGTGCCTCCTCACTGAGCTCTTTTCCACGTTGCCGTGTGACTGTCACTGGAGGAAAAGGTGAGATGCTCATACTAAATAACTAACTTGATTCTCCCCCTTTTCTCCCTCTGGAAAGGCACAAAGATGACAAACTCATTAAATGTAGTCAGTATGATGGACTTGTGGAACTCGCAACGATCTGTGCACTCTGCAATGATTCCTCTTTGGATTACAATGAGGTAAGAACATATCCTGGAACACAGGAGAGCGACAATGGGGATAAATGGTTTGTTCTCATCTGTGTAGTGCCTTTCCGTGGTAAATCCCCTTCTAATCATGGGGGGAGAGTATTTAGGTCCTCTGAAGTATTAATTCTGAGAACTACTTGTTTGTTGAATCCTGAGAGAACTAAATGCAGCAGCAAGTGTAATCTGTAATTTGGAGATCTCCTGCTGCTTTCTTGCTTTGCCTCTCTGCCTTAGAGTTGCTACATCTCATAATGACTTAAATGCTTGATGAAAAGTACTGGCATCTTTCTCTGCTGCTCTTGAGAGCAAAGGCTTCAAATGCCTACAAATCATACTCTTCAAAGCTGCTCTTTAAAAATAGTTCTGCTTGTTTCATAAGCCACAGTAAATCTTGTTAAGCCTTTCTTTTTTTCCGTTGTGAAACTTGAACTTCTGTCTCTGGTAGGTTCCAGGTGAGGTTTAAACTCCTGTGTTTTTGTTTGCTTTGTGTTAACTAAAGGCTAAGGGAGTTTATGAGAAGGTTGGTGAAGCCACAGAAACAGCACTTACCTGCCTGGTGGAGAAGATGAATGTGTTTGACACAGACCTGAAAGGACTCTCTAGAATCGAACGTGCCAATGCTTGTAACTCGGTGAGTGATCTGTGATCTGGGATTGTTTTGGGACAGAGGTCTGTAGTGTGTATTATCTACATGCATTTTTATGCTGTTGTCTTTCTTTTAAGGTGATAAAACAACTCATGAAGAAAGAATTCACTCTGGAATTCTCAAGAGACAGAAAGTCCATGTCTGTCTACTGCACACCCAACAAACCGAGCCGCACGTCCATGAGCAAGATGTTTGTGAAGGTCAGTTCCTCACCTGAAAAACCGGAGCTGTGGGATGGCTACAAAGCAGCACAACACTTAAAAATTATAGTACAACGAACTGCAGCTTGAAGGTGGAGGAAGGACTTAGTAATTTAAGCAAGCAAGGGTTTTATTAAACTAAATAACTCTTTTTTTTTTTGCCTCCGCAGGGTGCTCCTGAAGGTGTGATTGACAGGTGTACACATGTCCGTGTTGGAAATGCTAAAATACCATTAACCCCAGGAATTAAGCAGAAAATAATGTCAGTCATTAGGGAATGGGGAACTGGTAGAGATACACTGCGTTGCTTGGCTCTGGCGACCCACGACAATCCTCCCAAAAAGGAGGAGATGAATCTGGAGGACTCCTCAAATTTCATTAACTACGAGGTAAGATTGGTGGCACTTCTCCCTCTCCCAAAGTGGAGAATGGAACTCCTTATGTCTGATTATTCCTTGAGAAAGTTACATCTGAGAACTTTCTGGCTGTTTTTGATGTCAGACACAATAGTTACTCACATGTGTGGAGGGAACACTTAGTTTAGGAAGAGACTTTGTGTTTTAGAAGAAACTTTTGATGGCTGGTGGAAGATAAAAAGCCAGCTGCAAACTGAAATATTTTACTTACAGGTCCTCAGGATCATAACTCCTTCAACTGTTCTCAGAGACTGACTCTGAAAAATATTCCCAAAACTGCATTGTGGTTTCAGCTTTAGTGGTTGCCCAACTGCAAGAGCTCTTTGGGGATTTTGTGATGGAACATACCTGCCATTGTGTGCAATGTGCTGTCAGCTGCAGGGGCTCAATCCATGATTATCATCTCTGCTGCTCTGTAATTTTCCAATGAAATCTGTATCTGATATTTAGAGGGAGGGAAATAACAGTTGCATGAGAGCTTTTGGCTTGTGCTCTGTGCTCCTGGCACTGATTACAAAAACGAAAGACTCAGTGCTTGCAGGTCGAATTTGCAAGGCTGGCAACTAGAGCACATTTTAACCAAGAAAATTGGTGCATTTGAAACAAAATATGTTTGGAAAGGTAGGACAAGGAGTAAAAACAGATCTCACTACACTGAGAGAGATGTAAAGTGCAAGCAAAAGGATTTCACTGCTGTCAGATGAGGAATCTCCAGGATCTTGCACTAAAACCTGGTGTGTCTCATTCCAGACCAACTTGACCTTTGTGGGCTGTGTGGGAATGCTGGATCCCCCGAGGATTGAAGTAGCTTCATCCATCAAGCTGTGCAGACAGGCTGGCATCAGGGTCATCATGATCACTGGGGACAACAAGGGCACGGCCGTGGCCATTTGCCGCCGCATCGGGATCTTTGTGGAGGACGAGGACGTTTCCACCAAAGCCTTCACGGGCCGGGAGTTCGATGAGCTCTCGCTCGCTGCCCAGAGAGATGCCTGTCACCATGCCCGCTGCTTTGCTCGGGTGGAGCCTTCCCACAAATCCAAGATCGTGGAGTTTCTCCAGTCGTTCGATGAGATCACAGCCATGGTAAGTGATGGAGCTGATCCTCGGCTGGAAAGGCAAACACTGTGTTTAAACCCTAATTAGGCCCTTTCAGACTAGTGCCCCATTCTGGAAAACACTTGTTTCCACATTTCCTTGAACTCTAAAGCTTCAGGATAGTTCTGCACTTAGTGATTTTTAAGGATCCAAAACATACCCAGTGCAAAATTCCTTTCTGGCCCTACACATAAGTCCCCACCTTATTTATTTAATTTTTTGTTTCAACTCTGAATTCTCGTTTTAGACTGGTGATGGTGTCAATGATGCCCCTGCACTGAAGAAGGCAGAAATTGGAATTGCTATGGGTTCTGGCACTGCAGTGGCTAAAACTGCCTCTGAAATGGTTTTAGCAGATGACAATTTCTCCACGATCGTCGCTGCCGTGGAAGAAGGACGTGCCATTTATAACAACATGAAGCAGTTCATCCGGTACCTGATCTCCTCCAACGTTGGGGAGGTTGTTTGGTAGGTTTAAATCCGTTTTTTCTTTGAACTAGAGTAGTGATGGTGGAGTCTTCTGTTGGTTATTTACTTCAGTATTTCTCACTAAAACCAGGGGAACAGGTTCTCCAGGTGACTGATCATTGTGGGAGTTGTATGTTTGTGGCCTGGTCTTTAGAGAAGAATTGTAGCTGGCCACAGAAGTTGACATTGTGTTACATAGAATATTGTAGTTCAGTAGGTAATGCTTTCCAATTATTTCTATGATTGGAATAATTCTCTAGAACAGGAAAACAAAACCCTTAATCAAATATTACAAGATCTGAAATTTCAGATAGCTTAGTCACAGGCATAGCTTAGATGTTTGTTTAACCTCAGGTTAAACATGTCTTGTGTTCCTCTGTGAGGAGCAGTGGGGACCCAGCACCACAGAATGCATTTCTGGTAGCAGAATGTCAATATTGATCTCCTCACAGCCCTTACATCAAAGCAGACTTTCTCCCAGAGTGGAATAAAACACAGCAATTGTCTTACCTTGTTTCTTGTCAACTTTAAAGCTATCCTTCATCTGGCTCTTGCTGCAGCCCCTGTGTCTGTTCTATTTATTCACACAGCCTTGGAGCCATGAAAGCTACATGCTCATTAAACTTCTGCAGGGAGTAGCAGTGATCTAGGGAAATGAAGCTTAGTCATTCGAGCTAAAATGTCTTTTAGAAAGTGGCTTGCAAGCTTTTATCCATATATGTGTGTGTGTGTGTGTGTGTGTGTGTGTGTGTGTGTGTGTATTTACCTATACAGACAAGCAGAGTGGGGAAAAACAAGCCTAAAGCGAAAACTTCAATTTTTGAAGCTACCAAAAGAAGACAATGCTTCAAAGCTTACATGCTTTAGTGGTTAGAAGTGTTTGCTCTTGGATATGGTTTTAGTTTTCTGGTTTTGAATACTCAGCTTGTGATCCGAAGTGGAGAACTCTGTATGAGAGAACAGAAGTGATGCTGCAGGCTTAGGCTTAAACCTTAAAGGACTGACTTACATAAATAAGCTTGTAACTGGTGGGTTTCTTTGTAGCATCTTCTTGACTGCTGCCCTGGGTTTTCCTGAAGCTCTGATCCCTGTCCAGCTGCTGTGGGTAAACCTTGTGACTGATGGTCTCCCTGCCACTGCTCTGGGCTTTAACCCTCCCGACCTCGACATCATGAACAAGCCCCCGCGCAACCCCAAAGAGCCCCTGATCAGTGGGTGGCTCTTCTTCCGTTACCTGGCTATTGGATGTGAGTACTAATGGCTTTTTTCCCTTAAATAAACTCTTAAGACGTGAATTACAACTTATTTTTTTTCCAGTGCTGGAAGTCTTGAGGTAGAAGTTCAAGTGTGGCAAGCGAGGTCTTGTTTTGTGTACAGTTCACAGTGCTGAGAAAAGCACTTTGTTTTCTTCCAGGCTACGTTGGTGCTGCCACAGTGGGTGCTGCTGCTTGGTGGTTTATTGCTGCTGATGGTGGTCCAAGAGTTTCCTTTTACCAGCTGGTATTTGCTCAGTTTAATATTTTTGGGGGGAGAGGGGAGCTTTCATGAAAGCTTTACCTGCTGCTTTCATGCTTGAAATGACTGTAGAAAACTGGTAGGTTGCAGGAATTTATATAATTGGACATTTTCAGACCTGTTACTGTAAAATTAATCATGATTAATTAGTCTTAATAGTAAAGCTCAGGGGTTGGATACCTGAGCTTCTAACAGTTTGAAGGGTTAATTGTTGTCTTGTAAGTAAAAGCCTAAAGGGGATTTTTCCTGAAGTGGGCAGAAGTTTATAAGCACTGGGTTTGAGAGTCACAGTAGAAACTTCTCTTTCTATAATACTCACTTGCTTTTTTTTGCCTAATTGCCTGTTTTATAATTTTCAAAGTTAACAAGCTGTGGGAGTGAGCTCACATTGTTCTGTTCCAGAGCCATTTTCTGCAGTGCAAAGAGGACAATCCAGATTTCTTCGGGGTCGACTGCGTGGTTTTCGAGTCCCCGTATCCGATGACAATGGCTCTGTCTGTGCTCGTCACCATAGAGATGTGCAATGCTCTCAACAGGTTCGTGTGTCCAGGCAGGAAAGCAGAGCCTCTGCATAACTCTTCCAAAATCCTGCTTTTTGTGTAATTTGATTCTTGGTGGACAGCTCAGCTAACAAAGAATGAGTCACGTTTCCTTTCTCAGTCCCAGTAGTGCAAACAAAATGACTCTGAGATAACATTTGAGATCCCTTATCATAAGGTATATTTTTAAGGCTGCCAATTCACTCTGGTATTTTACTAAGCACAAGCAACTGAAATATTTTCCATTATTTTTAATCTAAGCTTAATCAATCAGATTATCCCTCCTATGTTGGTATAAAGTGATATCAAGGAGAACTAAAATAAGAATGCTGAAGATATGGAAAATAGTTTTTCCTGCCCTAAGGGAGTGTGGGTTTAGCCAATTAATATTAGATTATAAATGGAAACCACTAAATAGCACAATGTCAAGGGTATTTTTCTTCAAATAGCTTAGAGGTCAGTTAATTTAAAAACAAATAAACTTCAAATACAAGTGTACTGGGGTAGTCCTACATAGTAAGGTCCTACATCCAGTGCTCTGGATCTCAGCCTCTTCTGCCTAAATGCAAATGGAATCAAGAGCAGGATTAAAGAAGGTGCCAATACTTAACCCTCTTTCAGTCTTTCAGTGAACTTTAGAAGAACTGGGTGGACTGGGGTGGATTCTGTCTTATGCTTCCATGTCCATCCTTCCCTTGCCCTTCCCATAGGGAGGATTTTGGGGTCATAGTGAAAAGAATGGACCAGATCAAGAATGAGCAGAACATACAAGAGCTTTCAGGATTAAATGTGAGGCTGACTGACTGCTTTTCTAAGCTGACTTTCAGGGTAGTTTAAAGTTGCAACATACATATAAAACCATATCCTGGGATCTTCCCTGCCTCCCCAGTGGGATCCCTGTGCCTTGCCATGCTGCTCTGCTGTCTGGATGGTGTTGTGGTTCATGGAGTTTCCTGTCAGTGTTACCTACACACACATGTCCCATGTTCCTCTTGCAGCCTGTCAGAAAACCAGTCCCTGATGAGGATGCCCCCGTGGGAGAACATCTGGCTGGTGGGAGCCATTTGCTTGTCCATGTCCCTCCACTTCCTTATCCTTTATGTGGAACCACTGCCAGTAAGTGCACGTGTCTCACGCCCACCCCTGACCTTGGAGGTAGAGCACAAACCTGTTTGGGGCTTCAGGCAAGGACTGGAGGGGGAGAGATGCACCTGGAATATTGTGGCAGCTTTGGTCACCACAGTGTAAGAAAGATATTAAGGCATTAGAGAGTGTCCAGAGGAGGGCAATGAAGATGGGGAAGGGCCTGGAGGGGAGGCTGTGTGAGGAGCGGCTGAGGGCACTTGGTGTGTTCAGCTGGAGGAAACTGAGGGGAGACCTCGTTGTGGTTACAACTTCCTTGTGAGGGGCAGAGGAGGGGCAGGCCCTGAGCTCTGCTCTGTGGGGACCAGGGCCAGGACCCAGGGAATGGCCTGGAGTTCTCTCAGGGCAGGTTTAGGTTGGATGTCAGAAAAAGTTCTTCCCCAGAGGGTGGTTGGGCACTGAACAGGCTCCCCAGGGCAGTGGGCACAGCACCAAGGCTGCCGGAGCTCGGGGAGCATTTGGATGATCCTCTCAGGCACAGGGTGACTCTCGGGGATGGGCCTGTGCAGGGCTGAGGGTTGGACTCCATGATCCTTGTGGGTCCCTTCCAGCTCGGCACATCCTGGGATTCTGTAACACTCGGCTTTTCTTTCAGATTATCTTCCAGATCACGCCGTTGAACGTGACTCAGTGGCTGATGGTGTTGAAAATCTCCCTCCCTGTCATTCTGCTGGATGAAACACTTAAATATGTGGCCCGTAACTACCTGGAACCTGGTAAAGATAGTGTGAGGCCTGCCACCAAACCCTGTGCTCTGTCAGCATGCACCGAAGGAGTTTCCTGGCCGTTTGTGTTCATTACTATGCCCTTGGTTATCTGGCTTTACAGCACAGACACTAACTTTAGTGATATGTTCTGGTCTTGACTGACATGGTGACGAGTTTTACATTCAATGGAAAAAAAAAAAAAAGAGTTTAACTTAATTTTTTTATTGTTTAGAGCAACTGTCTATTTCTGCTGAATTTTCACATGAACATATTTGCCGGTGATGGAGGTTTCATAATCTAGATTTTTGGTTTTTTGCTTTTTCTGACTTCAGTGGGGGCAATATATTCCTCTTTTATACACAGTTAAAGTGTCCATTGACATGTACAGAGAACTAACACTATTTTATGCAAATATTTTTTTGTAGATGAAAAGCATGTACAGTGTTCTGTTCAATAGTCTATTCATCATGTAAAAAAAAAAAAGTAAATTTGTTTTGAGCCAGCGGACACTATCAGACTAAATTGGCAGCAGATTTTAGGGAATGAATGTGTGTTGTCTAAAACTAAAAAAGCATGTAACTGTTTGTCTTCTGCATGATCATCCAAACTTAATTTGTCATAAAGTCAGGTTTGATTCACGAGCAGAACTTTCTGCACTGGGTAGAGTCCTGCTCCCTCGGTCAGGATTCCTTCTCAGTTCCCCTCTTCCCTCACTCTTGGTTCTTGACTGTCCTTGTTTACACCAGTTTCTGTATGAGGTAATGCCTAATCTTGCTCGTGCAGAAAATACCATTCCAGCTGCAGCCTGCTGGGGTTCTTCCATACTCTCAACACAAATAGGGTTGTGTTTTTTTTAAGATTATTTATTTTGTCTATTGTATTTTATTGTAACAAGACCTTATTTTGCCAGTGTTGCCCATTTTGCAGGGACAGGGAGGGCTACTTCTGTCTCCTTAAATCTAAAGCCTTTTTAACAAACACAATCTATTTGAATTCAAAAGAGGGTTTAAGTTGGGGGTTAATACTTTATTTACACATCAGAGCCTTTCTTTTTCTTTCTCTTTTTTTCCCCCCCTTTAAGATCAAAATTTGCAATGAGACCTGGAAAAATTACTTGCACTGCATAGGTAGAAATTAGATTTCCTACACTTAGGGCACTAATGCTCAGTTGTATCCATGGGGTTACTCTGCTGGCCTGTTGTAAGCCTGACTTGAAGTAACAAGCTCGTGTGTGTTTTTTGTAAAATCTGTAAATAGCACATGACCAAATTGAACATATTGTATAGAACTATTTTTATTTTGATGTGGCACTAACCACCTTCATTATTACGGTAAATGTTAAAGCATGTTTTCAAATTCAGTCCTGTATCAACAATGTGTAAGTCATTAACAGTCCTAACTGTGGTGTTTTTCTCCAATGCCTTCCAACTTTCATCGACTAAAGTGAGTATTTCTCTTCCATTTCACCCTGCCAGTGGTGACTTGCTGTAAAATAGCATTATGATGTATACATGTTGAAGAATAAATAGTAATTTCCTTCATTCCCATGCTGTGTTTTGTCAAACTCTGCTGTGCTACATTATTATCACCACTTTAGACTCTTGTTTTGTGGTCTGAAGCTCAAATTACTGATTCCAAAGGCAAAGCACTTGCTTTTGGTTTAGCGTATTTTAGGGTCTTGTTTTATAGCACCTGGGAGCCTTAGTGCCCCGAGGTCTTACAGCTTTTGGTCTTAAGTTACAGATTTGTCTAATTTTATCTCAAACTTAAGACTCTGACAGCTGTGAACGTGAATGTTTAGTGTCCAAAACTCTCTGGTACTCGTGGTCAGGTGCTGGTTTACTCCAAAGCTTTTCCCTGCTCTGAAATAGGGGCTCCCACCCTTCCCTCATCCCTGGTACCAGCAGTGCTCAAAGGGCAGGTGCTGCTCCTGGCAAAAGCAGCTCATTATTTGTACAATGGCCATCTGAGAAGGCAAAAGAACAGTCTCAGCTTAACAGGACAGACTCTGAAACCTGTCCTGGGGTCACTGTGTCTGTAGAGCAGCAGGTGCTGTGTTATCTTGTGCTGGCTCAGGCTGAGTAACCAAATTCAGGCAGCTTTGTGATCCCTCCTGGAGGGACAGGACAGTTCCAGGCTGTGTCCTGTTGGTGCCAGCTGGAATCCAGCAAGCACACATCATTCTCTTGGTTTAAGCTCTCAAATATAGACTCTCCCCTCAGAACACTCAGGCTCTATCAGAAATTCCACTGCATTGTGAGTGCTCTGTTTACAGAGACTTTGACTTGTCTGAGTTGGTGCTGGAGAGGCTCAGTAGGAGCTGACCTGATGATGCAGTAGGTGTGTTGCTGAACTGTGAGCATTTTAAATCCCCTTGAATGCCCTTTTTTAGTGTGGAAGAGCCAAACTAAGGTTTTGCATTCCACAAAACCACTGGCCTGCACTGGCCATTTGCTGTATCAATAACAAATGAGCAGCATGAAGCTTGACCCTGTTTCTTGAAATGGAAAAATAATAGTTCATGTGATTCAGGATTCCTTGAGATCAAAATATGTCCCAGTACGTTACTTGTTGGAAACAAATACTAGCAAGTTAGTTCTGTGTCCTCCCAATGTCATTGACAGACATTTTCCAGGGCAGGAATGCCACTGAATCCTTGAGCACTGGTTCTGTTGAACCTGCAGAGCACCATATTGGTGGCCTTTTTAAAGCCACCATGAGTGATCCTGCTTCTTGTACAATCCTATTCCTGTCTTTTATGCCAAATGATCTTGCTATTTGGCCCCTTTTTCCTTCTCTAAGAAAGTGAAGGGGGAAATGACTGTCGATAAATAGAATTCAGTCTTCAACACCTGTCTGTGTTGAAAATGAATCTTGCTGCTTGTGTCCTGGATTTCCACAGACATCTGAGAGCTTGCTCATGTCTTGGAGGCACTTGGGATAGGGCCTTGTGTTCCTTGAGTTTGCCCTAGAAAGCTGGATGAGTGGTGGATAAATGGAGTGGGATCCATCCCTACAGGCTCCTGAGCTTACAGGAACAGTCAGCTTTTATAAGGTGCTCCTACAGAGCCCAAGCAATCTTCATCTACCCTGATTTTATTTCTCCCAGTCTTGTCCAAATCTTCCTGCAGAAGTGGAGCAATAGAGTTCCCCGAGATCAGCAGGTGCAGGTCTCAGGTTCAATGGCAGCTGTGCTGTGCTTTAGGACTTCTGTTTTCCAGGTGTTGTAAATCCCAGCCTTGTCTGGCCTGAATTGGCCAAATATTAAGACCCACCATGAACCTCTTCCTGGGCAGCTCATCCTGCCCTGGAATCACAACCTTGTGATCCTGGAGGGAGTGCTGTGGGTCTGGGCTCCACCCTGGGAGCTGAGCAGGCAGTGGGAGTTGCAGTAGGAGAGAAGAAGGCAGCTTTTCTGATGGCTTTTCTGTTCTAGAAAGTACAGAACTGCAGTGCAAGGTTTGGAATCACTGCAGGAAATGTGTTAACTCAATTTACCTTAGTTGTATAGATCTTGTTATCCTTCAGCCTCAGCCCTTTCATCTGGAGAAGCCAGGAAGGGAGGACCTTTCAGAACAGGCTGACTTGCCAACATCTTGAAGTTGAAATTCTCATTTAATTTCTTTGGTCCCAAATATTTCCTCTCAAGCCTCCCCAGGTTGAAATAGGGTAACTGGGGGTACAAATAGATAACTCCTATTTTCCTGTTCCTATTTTTTGTGTTCCTGAGAACATACAAACAGCAGCACTTCCTCAAGCAGAAATAGCTCAGAGTTCCCCAGGCTTGATCTCCCACTCCATTCTTAGAAAATAACCTCATATTTTTTGTTTCTCTTTGCTCTCATCTCACCAAGCTTTGTCATCTCTGCTGTTTTCTGGATTCCTTGGTGCCCTCACACGTTGCTGCTTATTTTCTAGTGTGAGAGGGGTGTGTAAGACCAGGATCAATCGTGTGATTGATGCTGCCTTATGCTGGGAACACCAGGAAGGATATTGGCTTGTGCTGGGAACCCAGTGGGGTTTGGAATAAGAGCAGCTCCTCCTGAATCCAGGGTTCTGTAGCAAGGAGGATGCTCAGGCAGCTGCAGCCCTACACTAAATATTTAGACAGGAGCTTTTGTCTTTGCAGTGCCTTGGGCTCCCTCTGCTTTCACATATGAATGATCCAAAGTGCTGTCCATGAGCTTACACAACGAGCTGCTCCTTCTTGCTGCCATCCAAGCAATAAAAATAGTTCATACTCGGTTTCCCAAAATGTTATTGCAAATAAATGAGGATGAAAGAGGCTGCAGAAAAACATACACCAGTCTGTCCAAGTGCTCCAGGGCTCGTGTTTGCAGGGAGTCTGGTTGGGAGGTTAATGGTACGAAAATGAGATTTTAATCTGCTGATAGAATGCAGTACAGCAGTTCTGTTCAGAGAACACAGCTCCTGCCCACAGTTCGTGGTAAACAGCCTAAAGAGGGTTCGATTTGCTGAGATGAAGGGAGGTAAAACCGATACAGAGTCGTCTGTCTCTTGCACCTGTCTTGTTTTACTTTTTTGCACTTCTAACCATTAACTGTTTCCCTAATCTCTGCTAATTACATCCTTAATTGCATTAATATGCATTTTCAAATCTTAGCAGGAGAGCCCAAATTTTACAGTGTCGAAGCAGTGTTTGGAAGAGCTTCCCTGGAGTTGTAGGGCCCCAGAGCACCCCAGGCTCTCCCAGACACAGGGCTGACCTTACGCTGTGGTGTGGGGGTGAAGTACAGGGGGAGCTTTAGGACCTTCTACTCTCCCCTTGGTCTACACATTAATCTGTGTAGTGTAATGACTTCTTCAAAGCTTTCCTACTGCTTCCCAGAACAAGCTGCCTGGAAAAGGGACATTGTTAGGTCACTTTGGGGACCAAACTTGGAATAATGCCTCGATTAGAAAAACACCCTTAAAACCTTGAGCTCCACATGTGTAGGGTGAAACTTGAAAATAAAAATTCCAAATCATTGACACTTGTCTGTTGCCACTGATCAGGCAGAGAAAGGCAAAAGTTACTTGAATGTCTTAATTATTTTTCACTGCAGTCTTTGCTAGGAAGTGCTGGCTCTGCTGGTTATCAAGGGAGCTCTGCTCAGAGGAGCTGAGCTTTAATCCAGAGGGTCTGAGCTTTAAGGACAAAGTAACCTGAGAGTGTCCCTTCAACGACAGAGCAGCCAGTTACCAAACTTAACATTCTTTCTTCTGTCACTGTTGATCTTAGTCTTGCTTGTATAATGATAACTGAGCATTCATCCTTTCATTAACTGATGCCTTTTCTTTCTTTCCTTTTCAGCAATACTGGAGTAATCGCTTCCTAAACAATTTTGCAGAAATGTAAGGTTGTTTTGTTGCGTGCATGTGTTTTTAGCAACACATCTACCAAAACTTCTGCATGTATCGTGTAAAGATTCTTTGCTTTCCCTAAAAAAACAAAAACTCATTGTGTTCTCTGTGGAAGAAATGTGTGGTACCATTAGGACTCCATGATACAGATGTACAAACGTGCAATATAGATTTTCAAGGCGGAACTCTCTCCAGAGAAGGTTGGTTTCTGTGCTGCATGGAGAAGAGTTGGGTTTTCCTTGAACAAGAATCACGGAGCTGTCAGCCAATTTCCCATACTTCCTGTATGTAAAATGTCAGTTTATACAATGTACAATATCAGATAATGCATGCCTTGGGTTGTAGATGGATCTCTCTGTATTGTATCATCCAAACATCCAACTCCAACAGCTTCTGTACAATGCTCTCCTATTTATAAATCCATGGAAACGATTACAGATGAATGTTAAACCGTAAGCCTCCACTTCATAACTTTGGATTTTTTTATCATCTGTGCAAATCAACCTCTTTTGCACTGTAATGTAACTTATTTAAATCTAAGGCAGTAAGACAGATGTTGGTGCAATACAAAATATTGTGATGCATTTATCTAAAAAGCAACAACGACGTAGCCAGTTCCCACAGCTGCATGTGCGACCTTTAGAAGTTGTAAATAAGATCAATTGTCTATTGACATGCTGACAGTAAAAGGAGCATCACACCTAGTTTCATTTGTATCAGGTAAATAAATTTATTCTCCAATACATACTCGGCGTGGTATTTGATGCACTTTGTTTCCTGCAGGTCCGTGCTCTTCTTATTTTAATGCCAGGATGCCACTTTTTAGCACCACCACAATCTTCCCTCCTAGAACTATGCAGATGCAGCTGCTCCTCGGCAGTATTGACCTCCTCGCTGGTGTGATTTCCTCTGTCCAGGGGCTTGTGTGTGTGTTTAAGGGACACTGTCAAGTACTTTGATCACTCAGTTTTTTTAAAATGCTCCATTGTTTGTAAAATCCCTCTGAGAAAACGTAAAATAAACAATTCTTTCCCAACTACATCTTTTTTTTTTTTTTTTTTTGTCCTATTCTATCTTCTAAATTGCCCCAGCCTAAAGTAGCTCCTGGTCTCTTTTCCTTCCGTAGGCAAAAAGAGGATGAACCAAATGTATTTGCTCCAAACCACACCACGAGCATCCTGCTGGGAGTGCTTGGCACTTTGGGCTCACTCCCTTCTCCACACTAGGGGCTGTTCTGCCACGAGCTCACAGTGCAGGAGTTAGGCAAGGCTAAAGCACCTCAAGGGTAAAAGCTGGCTCTTCCAAGTGTCCTGTAATGCTCTGCTCCAAAGCCCAAACACTACGTTTTGTTTGGAATAAGAGGCAACTTGAGGAATATGCTTTAAATGAGGTGTAATGGCCCTCAGCCCCTGAGAGCAGCACCGTGCTGGCAAACGGCCTTATCCAAATGAGGTGACACGTCTGAGACCCTTCAAATGCCACGGTGTGAGGTTTAAAAATACAGAGGTTGAATTCCATTGTCCAGCAGAACTCTGGGATGGTGGAGGGTGTGTTAAGGCCTCGGGCTGAGCTGCTGTGGCTGCTTCCTACTATGGTAGTGTTGTGTGGGCAGGCTGAGCTCTGCTCTCACCCCCGGCTGGGGCTGTCAGAGCCAGGCTCCACACTCTGTACCTCCCAGCTCTTCCTGGGGCTGCATTTGGAGCCTCAGCACACACCAAGAACTCTGCCAGCACAGCCCTTCCTGCTGGGGCAGCGAAGGGCTTCCATTTGCACTTCCCAGGGACACCTGGGCTGAGGGATCACAGACATTTGGCCAGAACAAACTACCCCAGTAGCACCTCTTGTCACAGCCTCAGCCTGGCTGTAATTAGGAAGCAACCAAAGGGGACAACGAGGCTCCCTCGCAGCTGAAGTGTTGCTCAGATCTCGCCATCCCATGTACCAACGTGCTCCTGCCTGGCCCATCTCCTGCCCCTTTTCTCAGCCTGTGGAAATTCTTGTCCCCAGCACAGGTGCCGAGTGTAACGCTCAGGGAGATACAAAGTCATTATTCAGGGAACAGCTCGAGCTGCTGTCACAGCGAGGTACATTCCAGCACCTCTGCGCTCAGACAGCGCCTCTCTGAGCAAAGTGACACGAACTCACACCTGATTTTTAAACGTTTCTTTAAATGATGATCTGCAAGCTAAAGGCAGAGCGAGTCCCTCAAGTGACCCTGAGGCAGCACTCTGGAGTACAGCCATGTGAGCAGAACGTGATGCTCAGTGGGTTGCCGAGGTACTCAATGCAAGAGTGTGTGGTAAGAGATGCTGAAATCAACAGCTTCATCTTCCCCCTCCTCCTCCTCTCCCTGCAACCCCCGGCTCTAAAGCATCACATGGATGAGCCACTGACAGCAGAGCAAGAAAGCAGCTCCCCATAGATCAGTTATGAGGCATTATGGGCACATTACATCAAACTCTAAATACAGAGGGCAGGAAATTACCCCATTTTTACCTCGAAGTGAATTTGTGTGTGATTAGAGCCCACATCCACCCCCAGGAGGGTGGGCGAGAAATGAGAGAAGCCTTGGGGAGGGGAGATGGCAAATTTTCTTCCCCACTGAGTTAGGAAAAAGCCACAGGAAAATCCTGGGACTGTAAAAGACAGCCCAACAATCCCCCTCTGCTCAGTCTGCAGAGCTCTGAGCACCTGAGGTGGTCTTCTAAAATATTACATCCCAACGATTTACTGCAGAGAAGACTTCAGACTCAATTTAGCAGGTTCCAGGGATTTACCTAATCAGGCCAAGGCTCTGCCCTTTCATTAGAGACAGTGGGAACTGAACCTATAAGAGTAATTCCCTTATAGCTGAGTCTATAGGGGTGATGCCCTTCCTGCTCCTGGAGCTGCCGGCTGGGCAGACTTACTCTGAGAGACTAACAGCATCCAACCTTTCCCAAAACAGAGCTGCTGACGCTCTGATCCCAAATCCTAATGGGATTAAGAGCTCCCTCACCAGCTGCATGGCAGCTTCAAGGCTTTGAAGTCTTTTCCAAGACATTTCCATCTGGGTGAAAGCCCTGCTGGCAACATCCCATCAAGCCTCTCGGTTCCTCTTTTACCCAGTGGAAAGGCTCTGCTCACTGGGCTGGCACTGGGACTAGACTGGGGTTAGGACTGGGCCATACACCTCCCTTCACCACACAGCACCTTGGTGTCCTACCACAGAACCCCAGCACCAAGCTGTAAACCTCTCGACACCTCTTTAAGGGCAGATGATGGATGTTCTTCCTGCCACCCTGTGAAGCCTCTGAATTTTCTGCATAGATGGTAAATCCCAGTACAAAAGGAGATCAAACCCGTCTGTTTCCTTATCCCCCTTTTCAGGCAAGAGCAGCAGCAGCAACAAAAGCAGAAATCAAAGCACAGCACAGGAAGGGTTAAATCTCTCTTCCAAAAACTCAAATATTTCCAGAGAGCTGAGTGGAGGGTCCTTAAAACTTCTCAGAGCCCAGTATATTTCCACAAGGGGAGCAAACACTTGACCTCCAGCTTTATCAAATTGGCTGAGTTTCAGTGTGACATTATCCTCTGCAGAACTGACACCAAAAGGTCAATGGGAGCCACCTCCTCCTTTCTCACCTATTAAAAGCTCTCCTGGGGAGCTGAGGAAAGGTGACAGCCTGTCTCCATACCCTGTCCCTCCTCTTGGCACAGCCAGAATCCAGGAGCTGCCCTGGCCAGAGAGAATTTGGGCTAATACAGGAATTACTGCTTTTTTCAGAGTAATGCCAAACTTTCCCTGTGTTAGTTACACAGACCCCAACATTCCAGATTGACAATCAATCCATACAAATTCCCCATCTCACTTTCACTATGGACCTCAGCAGGGAAAGCAGAAACTGAGGTTACACCACCTTCCCACTCCTATCAGCACCCATCAAGTTTTACAAGGCAAAGCAGCTCCTCAGTCACAGATCCCAGCTTTACTGGCTTCCCAACAGACATTTATCCCAGGAACCACACGGACAGCAGCTTCCACAGAGCAGCCCAAGGAAGTTGAGTATCCACTGACTGCTGATGTTGCCCTGCTGATGTCACCACACTTCAGTGTCCTGGAAAACTATTTAGCATTCCAAGAGGATGAAGCCAAGTTAGCAGCTTCAGCCCATCCAACCATACTGCACATCAAGGAGTAACACAGCATAGCACACACTGAACGCAAGGAAATAAAGTAGGAATATAAAAATTGGAAGCATTTTTCAATAGTTAAATAGTTCAGGGAAAGAACTGGCATTGTAACAGCTTTTTCTAGCAAAGCACACACTGCCTCTCCAGCACAGGAACAGGCCCTTTTGTGCTGCCAGATCGACCCAAGCTCTTGGATCAACTGCTAAAGTAAGGAGCTCATTTCTGCCAACCCCTGAACTCCCCCAGCCCAGGAGTCCAGCTGGGAGATGTTCCAAATCCCTGATCCACAGTAGCTGAGCAGTGCTGCTCCTGCTGCTGCTGCCACCGCTGCTGCCCCTCCAGCCACTGCCACGTAACCGGACTCCTTGTTGCCTGTAAATATTCAGGCCCACCCTGGATCCTTTCCATGAAGAAACTACACTGAAACCAACTGCAATGTGCTTGAGTTCTGGTGGGCACTAAATAAAATGGTCCCAATTTACTGAAGGGCAGTACTGAATACAGCTTATCTAGAACTTTAAGCCCTGCCTAAGGTTATTTAGTTTGAAATCACAGGTTTATACTCAGTTTAAGCCCACCCAAGGTCATGACATTTCAGACCCCTGCAGACTGCACTGATTTAGATCTGTTTTCCTAAAAGATATTTGGATGTGGTGTATTTGTGTAACTTGAAATTACAGTGGCTGACACAGCCTTTGAGATTTTCTTACCCCTGAGATCTAAGGGAGGGAGTAAGTTTTGCTGAATCAGAAATCCTCCCTGCTTCTGTCCTGGATGGATCAGTTCACACATCACTGAGCTCCTGAAAAGCAAGGAAGGAAGAATCACCACACAAACAGGCCTAATGAGGAAGAGAGTTACTGAAAGGGAAAAAAATTGCTAGTTAATCAAAAATCTCTCTATAATCAGCAGTAGCAGGAAAGGAAGAAGCACCTCAGTTGGACAGAAAACACTGATACTGGCCAGCAGTCCCTTCTTCATCTCTGCTTCACAATTCTAGAATTCCCAAGATTTGGAAATCAGAATTAGAAATACTGCTGGAATTTCAGGTGTTATCAGCATATGGCAGGATAAAGTGTGAATAAATGCATTATTTAGGCAATTTCTAGCCACATCCTGAATTTGTGCTGCTTTTAGGCTCTGCTAAACTCAGCCTTTTAGCCCTCACCCAAGTCTACGTATGGTTTGAAGAAATTCGGTCCCTTTCCACCACTTCTTGTCTTTCCTATTGCAAAACAGGAAAGAACTAAAACTTAAATTACATTTGTGACTTAAACTCAGTGATTTCAAGCAAACTTGGGCACTCTGTCCTTACCCAGCTCCAGACTGGCATCTCAGACATGCCAACATTGTACAGTTAGAACTGGATGGCAACAGCTTTTTTGCCTCACAAACTGTTTCACTTCCATCCCTGATTTGCCACAGCCTGAACTTCAGTTTTTGGCTTTGTGATCTTTTCTTCTAAGGTGCACAGCACGTGACTGAGGGAGGGAATGAGGTCAGCTGCTCATTAAGGGCTAATTGTTCTATTCCCTGAACTAGAAGGGCACTGGAGACTACAAGATCTCTGCAAAACCAGAGATCACATTCTAAAATTGGAGCGCTAATGAAGGCTCATTAATAGACAAGAATCCCTCTAGAATTCTGAAGTGAATTCTGAAGTGCTAAATATATCTATATAATCTCAAATGCACCTTGAAATTCCTTAGTCCCTTACTGTACAACTATTAGCAAAGATTACACACCAGCTACGTGAGCCCAACACATCAGATACTCACCGAGGTTTTATCTGCAGGATCTGACATTTAGTTTTCAGTGAGGAGCCAAGTTCTCAGAAAACCAAAGGAGCAAGGATCCAACTCTATT